GGGTTGAGCACCGGGTTGAGCACCGGGTTGGGCATCGGATGGAGCACCGGGCTGAGCACCAGGCTGAGCGTCGGTGGGAGCACCGGCGTGCTTGTGGTGGCCGCCATGCTTGCGGTGGCCTCCGTGTCCGACATGACGCGCTACGGGCGATTGATCCGCTACGGGCGATTGAGCCGCTACGGACGATTGACCATCAACGGGCATTTGATGCGATTGACCCTCCCAGTCTTGACGCGTCTTTGCGTATCCCTTGGGCAGGCGGCTTCCACCATCACTGCCACCACACGTCGAGCTGACGATACCGAGCGGGTCTACGTTGGCGCACACGCTGCGCTGACGCTGGTACTTGTCCGGAGCCGGCTGACCCGTCTTGTCGGTGGTGCCCTTGTAGACAGCCGCCTGTGCATCGTCCTTGCGCTGCGATCCCGATCTGTCGATAATCCCCACTGGGCACCTCACCCTCTGCGGTGTACCAGCCAGAGGCGGGTTCTCGCCCAGATGCTTGAACCTAAACAGGCACGATGACCTCAGTCCCTCGGGAAGCTTACAGCAGGCCTGTTCGTTGTCCACTCCCCCATATCGCTGGCCCCAATCCGAGCCCCACTGTGCAGCACAGCCCTTGTTGTAATCGCCAACGCCACCGCCGGCGAGCATCATGTCGAAACTGCCCTTGAGAATTCCCTGGCTGGTGTTGATGTTTTGCAGGATCATCTTGCGGATCGTCATCGGCTTGCCATTGCCATCGTGCTCCTGGAACTCGCTCAGGTAGCACGCACTTTCGATGGTGCCGTCCGGATCGTGGATGTTGTACGCCGCAAACCCGTATGCGAGCGTGGGGTCGGCAGTGTCGATCCAGGGCTGCATGCAGCTACAGACGAACATGCTGCCTCCCTCACAGCCGCTCTTGTTGCCGATCCTCGACTGCTCTGACACGAGCGTGACGCCGTCCTTCTCGCAAACATCAACAGGCGCATAGCGAGGATCGGTCCCTCCAGCTCCCTTGGCAGGCCAGCTGAAGGCCGCCATGCAGCAGTCGTGGAAGTGCGTAGCGTATGGCGTAGCAGGAAGTCCACCCGCCGAGGTGGTGACAGGCCAAGACGCCAGCATCATGGCTACGGCCGCAAAGGAGAAAAGTTGCATGCCCTTCACACCCATGATGAAGGTCGAAGGGGGCCGCGAGGATAGTCAGGTCAAGGAGATCGTTCTGAGGTGTGTCCAGCACTCGTTGAGGGAGAAAGCTCGGCCCGAGCCATGTTGGCCCCCCTTTTATGCTTGATGCCCAAGGTGCTTCGAACTTGGATGTTGCTGTATCGCTGCTAGGTACGTATCATCGAGACGCATGTGGCTGCAGAAGGATACTGCTCGCTATCTGTAGCTGACACGCTTTACCTTGATCATTCCACCCACCTTGCGCCCGGTCTCATCTGCGAAAACAGGGGGGTCGCGCTTCGTGTGATTTCCACTTGCAAGTGCTGCCCTCGTTGGCGCCTGACCCAGATGAGGTGGGTTCAGCATCTTGCGGGCGTCGAGACGACTAGCGCCCAACCTTACTCTTGCATGTGTCACATCGATGCTACGAATTGATCGTACAGCCTCACACGCACTGCTTCGACCCCGCCTCCGGTTTCTTTGAAGCCGAGCCGTTAACTTTTCCTTCTCCTGGTTATAGCACTGTAGAACTCAATTTCCAGAAAGCCAAATGTCTCCGTGCAATTGCAGCCGTCCGCTCACCTTCGAAAGCTAGGGGGAGGGAGCGGTGGTGGCCGCTCCGCGCTTTCCGCGACAGTGGGAGCATGTCAAGCACGGCGATGCAGTCCCATCTCTCAAGCCGCCACCTCTCCGGCCGCCACGCGTATCGACAGCCTCAGCGCTCGCCCGGGCGAGCCTTGAAAATTTTCCGAATTCCGAAATTCTCAACGCTTGCCAAATTCGCACCTTGCTGCGACTCGCATCCGTCGCTTTCCTCATCCATCTTGGCCTCTTGACAAATCTTCAGCGCAATGTCGGACCGGTACCAAGGCTCCGCCTACCGCGGCAACCGTGCGCCCATGGACGAGCGTCGCTACGGCGCACCTCCACGCCACCGCGAGGACGACTTTCGCTACGGCGCGCCACGCGACTTTGGGCCGCCGTACTATTCTGAGCCGCGCGGCTATTCGGGCCGCGGTCGGCGCGTGCACAAGGCGGTACCGCCGCCGCGGCCGTGGGACTACAGTCGGCGACCCCCGCCGCGCAACGATGAGGAGCGTGCGGCGCTCGAGCGCGAGCGCGAGGCATGGGAGGCGATGGAGGCGCAGCGATACGAACAGCGCATGGAGGAACAGCGCCGCGAGAGGGAGCGCGACAAGGAGCGCGCAGACCGCGCGCAGATGCAGCGCGATGGATGGTCGCACGAGTACGACGAGGAGAGGAGCTATCGGCCGCCGGAGTACGAGCGGCCACCGAGAGACTACCCGCCACAGGGGAGGAGGTTGCGATCGCGCAGTCCCGAGGCGGGGCACGCGGGGGCGACGTCGTGGGGTAGAACGTCGGTCGGATCGGCTGGTGAGGGACGCGGTACGCTCGAGGCCAGGTACCCAGATGCAGGCTATCCGCGACGCACTCCGCCGCCTGCAGCACACATGGACCCGCCAGATGCGCCGTACGCAGGGCCCGCGGAACGCACCGAGGCTGATGCGCACG